TCGTCTTCGTCGTCGGTGTCGCTGCAAATGTCGTCGTCGTCGGCGCCGTCGGCGTCGCTGTCGTCGTCGGCGTCGACGTCGGCGTCGGCGTCGGCGTCGGCGTCGTGGTGCGTCGTGCGTCGTGCGTCGTCGTCGTCGTCGTTGCCGTCGTCGTCGTCGCCGGCGTCTGTGCCAGGCGCCTGCTCTGATATAGTGCCACCAAGGATCGATCCAGATTGAGAAAATCCAACTGAGGTCCTACTGTGCTCTGATTTATGCTATTCTACACTAACGTGCTCCATCTATTTTCCTCCACCTGGTTGTGCTCGTTTCTACTCCGTCTCTCATCTCCTCTACTCTATTTTACTCTGTCTCACGCTTCTCTAGCACATCGTATCCTAATGCACTCTACTCTATTTCACTCTGCTCCTAGTTTACTCTATTATATGACTCTCCGATTCGAGTCGACTCTATCCGTCTCTGCTCTACTCTGTTTTATTTGTGGTCTGATCTACCCAGCTGCTCTTCTTCATTCGTTTCTTATCTACTCTGATATGATATACACCCCCCTATGCTACTCTTCTCTGCACTCCTCCACTCTGCCCGACCGTATCCCACCCTACTCGAGTCCTCTCTACCGTCCTTCCCTGTTATATTACATGCTATGTGTGCCCTACTCAGCTTGTCGTCGTCGGCGGCGGCGGCGGTGTTGTCGGCAGCGTCGTCGTCGTCTTCGTCGTCGGCGTCGGCGTCGGCGTCGGCGTCGTCATAGTCGTCGTCGTCGTCGTCGTTGTCGTCGTAGTGGTCGTCGCTCGTCGTCGTTGATGATTTCGTCGTCGACGCCGTCGTCGCCGGCGTCGGCGTTGGCGTCAGCGTCGATGCGGCATCGGCGTCGGCGTTGGCGTTGGCGTCGTCGTCGGCGTCGTTGTCGTCGTCGTCGTCGTCAAGGCCCTCGGTAATTTCGTCGGGCGTGGGGGGGCTACTCGAGCCCGTCGATCAGATTCCAGGGAGAGTGGGGGTGGTCCTGGACCCCCCCCACTATCTTTCCTAGAGGGGGTGGGGGTTTGGGCCCCCCAGCAATTTTTCCGCGAGGGGGGGGGGCGGAGGGGGTCCGAAGCCCCCCCTCCTCTCCTTTTTTGGGGTGGACCCCCCTCCGTGCTAGCAGCGGCAGAAAGCCCACTTTCCGCTTGGTAGTACGTGGTGGACATGTTGGAAACACATTTCTGGTTGGTGTAAGATTTCGCGAGAGCGGGTGCGCAGACTAACAACACATTTTCACTTTGCAAGGCATTGTTTTGTTGTCAGATGATCCGGGGACCTCGATTGTAAATTCCTGTCGAAAGCCATTGTTGTTGACACATGTCGGCATGCGCGCGCGACGACGCGCGCGCGTGTGGAATTCTGGGATGTATGGTCTTGGATGAACGAGTGTCCGCACAGAGTGTTATTTGTCATGCAAGATGGGGGCGGTACTGGCCTGCCTGGGATGGTACGACTTCACATACAAAGCGAACCCCGGTGCAGAGCATCGCGTGGCATGTGTAGCATCACAAGGGGAACCGCGAATTCCAGAAGGGGGGGGGGGGCAGTCGATCCCATAATGCTTTTTTTTTCTTCCAGAAGCGAGAATCCTGTGGCACTTGTGCCATCACAAGGGGAACCGCGGATGCCAAAGGGGGGGGGGGGGCAGTAGATCCCCTCATGCTCTTTCAGGAGCGAGAGTCTCTAGGCGGCGACGGGGCGCCGACGGGGCGGCGACGGCGAGCACGGAGCCGCCGGACCGCCAGCCCCAGGCCCAGACGAGCGGGCGGGCGGCGGGGCGGCGGCGGGGCGGCGGCGGCGAGCACGGAGCTCGCAGACCGCCAGCCATGCCCACTCCTTTTTAGAGCAGCAGGCAGGAAAAGCGTAGGTGCAAGCACTGTTTGGGGAACATGTGCATCCAATTGTTTATGAATATATATATATATATATATATATATATATATAGATATGTGGGCCATTCCTCATGTTTCGGCTCACGAAGGTTCCGCGAGGGCCCCGGGGTTGCCAAGGCGGCCCCAAAGGGCCAAAGGGTGTCCCAAGGGCCCGCGACGAACGAGGACAAGCCCCCAAGACTGGGGCCCGTGAGGGCCCCAAGAGGGCCCCAAAAGACGACACCCGGAGAGGGCCCATCTGAATAAGAATCCTTCTTCCGTCGCTCCTCCCCCTGCCTCCTCCCCCAAACATGCGACGCCCTGATTTTTTCAGGACGGCGTCCCCCAGACCCTTTCCCCGGGACCAGTTTTCTGTCCTGAAGCAATGTTTTCAAGGCCCCGAGGCCCGGCGAGACCCCCGGGGCCGAAAAGAGCCCAAAACCTCCCGTCCAGTTTTCGACACCCCCACCCTGACACGTCGACTAGTGAACTCTGACAAAAACCTCCGTCCCTGGACAGAACCCCCACCCTGACACGTCGATTGGTGAATTGTCCGTTTTCGGTTCTCGACAAGGCGCCGCGGCCGTCGTTTTCCAGGCTTACGCCCACCAGGTTTGGGCCCGAGGTCGTCTTCACTGAACCACGTTTTACTCAAAGGGGTGTCTGTCCATCCCTGGTTCCTGCTCTCTCTCTCTCTCTCTCTCTCCTGCCCCCTCTCGCTCCTGCGCGGTTTCGTAGCTCTTCCTGGCCTTGTTGCTGGCCTCCTCGGCCAGTCCCCCCTCGCGGGTTCGCCTCCTGGCCCTCGCCGCGCTCGTTGATATCGGGCCCTCGCTCGGCTGGACGTCAGCCCACGTCCAAATTTCAAGTCGGGCGTGCCCCCCTACAGGAGGAATATTCAAACATAGTCCAAAAACAGTCTGGGAACGATGTTTCTGTTATCTTTCCCCAATCAGAGCTTGCCTCTGTAGGGGTCCTAGCGGATTCATATGGTTATGTTAGGTTTGCCGCCGATTTTCGCCGCACGCCCGGGTGCCCGGGTGCCCGGGGGTGCCCGTGTGCGCAGGGGTGCCCGGGTGCCCGGGTGCCCGGGCGTGCCCAGGGGTGCCAAGGGGTGCCCTATAGCCCTATAGCCCTACAGCCTTAGAGCCCTATAGCCCTATAGCCCTACAGCTCTATAGCTCTATAGCCCTAGAGCCCTATAGCTAAATAGCCCTATAGCCCTATAGCCGTATAGCCCTATAGTTCTATAGCCCTATACCCCTATACCTTTAGCCCAATAGCCCTAACCCCTGTAGCTCGATTACCCTATAGCCCGATAGCCCTATAGCCCATATAGCCCTATAGCCCTACAGCCCTACAAATAGTATGATTGGGGCTTTTCTCCGGAACCATTTGATTTTTACACCAGAGAAAAACCCCAATCAGTGGATGGAGGAGATCGACCGGGAAACCGGGAGCCCGGGAACCCAGTTCCCACCGAAATCGGCCCGGAACCAATGACCCGGAACCTGGGAACCCGGAACCGGGAACCCTGGAACCCAGCCTGCTACCAAAATCGGCGAGAAACTTGTGCCAAATCTTTCAACTTCCGCTAGGACCCCTTCAGTGCAAGCACTGATTGGGGAATTTTTGAATATTCTTCGACAGTTTTACAATTTCCGCCCAGAGTCCGCTTGTAGGAGGACGTGCCTGACCTAAGTCCAAATATCGGAGCGGGCTAGGACTAGGGTAAAGCCGTCCCAGAGCGCTCTGGAACGGTCTCATCCTGGACACTCTGAGAAGGCCGCGGCGACCGAGACATCTTCCAGCGTTGCCGGATCTCAGAGATTCTCGACGTATCCTCACCGCCCGCTGTTATCCTCGTTCTGGCTTCGTCTTCGAGGAGGCAGGAGGTGGGGACTCTCAGTCGGACTGTTCCTCCAGAGGCATCCTATACAGAGTTGCCGGACCTCAGAGGTTCTCGATTTCCCTCGCCCGATGTTATCCTCGTCCTGACTTCGCCTGCCCCCTCTAACTGCCTTCCCCGCCGTCGGGGGTCGGTTCCGTTCGAGGGGGGCGAGGGAGCGCGCCGGCACCGCCCCCACACGCCAGTACCAGATCGTGGGCCGCGCCGCGCCGACGCCGAAGAACCCCACGCCGAAGGCGACGGCTCTCCTCGACCCAGACCCCCTCGCGCGGTGACAAAAATCACGGCGGGAGGTTTTTCTGTGTTTTCGGCCTTTGGGGGCCATTCCCCTGCCTCGGGGCCATTGGTCCAGGGGGAAGGGGTCCAGACTTAAGTCTGGCCTGTCCCTCTACGGAGGAATATTCAAAAATAGTAAAGAAAATAGCCCGGAGACGAGGTTTGGACTATTTTTGATGTTTGTTGAGCATGTTTGGACTGGTTTGTTAATTTGTCGCCCCAAAATCCGCCTGTTGGAGGACATGCCCGACCCAAGTCCAGACCTCTGGGGGGCGACGCTGTGAAACCATCTCGCGACGTCGGGGGCCCGGGTCCGGCTCGGCGGCGAGCCCTGCATGGGGGGGCGGGGAAGTGCGAAGGAGACGGCCTTCGCAGAAGGCTCGGGAGCGGGCCCCTGGCCCTCCGGGGAAGTGTCATCCCGGGTCTTCCCAGAGGGCGCAGGGACGCGCCTCGGAGGGCGCGCGGACCTCCGCGGGAGTCTCCCCCCCCCCCGCTTCCTCGGGAGCCCCCCCGAGGAAGAGCCCCCTACGGCCTTCCAGGGAAGTCTTCGCTCCCGGGTCTTCCGCCGGGGGCGCAGGGGGCACGCCTCGGAGGGCGCGCGGGGCTCTCGGGAGCTCCCCCCCCCCGCTGCCTCGGGAGGCCCTCGCCTTCCCGCGTCTGCCCCCCTCGCTCGCCGCCGCGCCGTCGGTCGAGCAAGCCGGCGCCGAGGGGATTTAAGAAGGCCGAGGTCCGAGGGCCTCTGGCCGAGGTTTGAAGGCCGAGGTCCGAGGTTTGAAGACCGAGGTTTGAAGACCGAGATGTGAAGACCGAGATTTGAAGGCCGAGGTCCGAGGTTTGAGGTGTTGGGCGGTTTTTCTGGCTCTCTGGGGCAACTGGGCGGTCCTCCTCCACGGCCGGATCCGCCTCGGAGTTTCGGTCCGTGGGTCGAATTCTGACCTTGGGGCCCCCAGACACCTCCTCGCGTCGTGAGCTAGATCACGATGGCAAGTTCAGTACGCTTGGCAGTGCTCGACTTCTGCCGTTGCCGGGCCCCGGGGGCCGCCAGCAGAAAAACGGCTCGGGGTGAGAATCCGTTCCCGGGGCAAGGGGTCGAGGCCTCCGACTCGAGGGTCCTCGCTTGGAAAAAGAGCACTGTTCCAGGCGTTTGGTTTTGAGGATGTCTTGGGATCCACGATCGTAGGTCGAGGTCCGAGGAGGTGCTCGGACATGCCTGGCCTCGTGGGTCGAGTGCAGTGGAGACCCATGCCAAGACACACCCTGCTTGCCTCCATGGTGCCTTGGGTTTCCTTGGTTTCGATGGTTTTTGCGATGGAAAGCGTGACATCCCTGGGGTCTCTGGGTTGGGTTTCTTGTGAACTGGCCTCCACTGTATCGTCGGCACCCCCCAGTGTTGAGAATGAACAAGGGGTACGTGACAAGAACAGTTGTTTCTGGTGCGCGGTCCCTGTTTGGCACTTGGCATTCGCTTGATGTTGCATAACACGCAATCATGGCCCGCAGCTTCCCGTCGACGGCATTCTGGTCGCTGCCATCGTCACAAGCGCTGCGCAGAGCAGTCTTGCACGTCAACTTCGAAGGTACACACGTGCATATACACATCAGTACAGTGCAATGCCCAAATTGATTCATGGGCGCCGACGACCGTCCGTCCCATCCTGCCTTGCGGGCCGTACGGTCTGATCCTGGACGTCATGCCCGTCTGATGCTGGCATCGAGCTGCCTGGCCTGCCTGGCCCTGCCAGCCCGCCCAGTTCGGCCTCTTGGTCTGTCTGGCCTACCAGGTCGCCCGGCGCCGCCAGGAACACGCGGGGGAAAGCTAGAAGTATTGTTTGATCGTGTGTTGACAAAATGAAGTAGATGTCTTGTGCGAGCGATTTCCGCTGTGGTGTGGTTTTGCCTACACGCGCGCGCGCTGTGCTCCTGATCTTGAACATAGATTTGTCCATAGTGGTTTTCAGACCTTCCTTCGCCAGAGTTTTCCGGGTTGGTAATTTCCCAGGCCGTTTCACACGAGTCTTTACTTTTTTTCTTATCCAGGAGCTCGGTGTGGACGCGTGTTGTTTGACTCCGTAGACGCGCTAACGGCGATGTGGGTAACGGCGATGTAGGTTTCTGCATTGTAGGTGGGAGTGCCTCGTGGGCGAAACCAATTGTAGGACGTCGTGGTTCGCGCTTTCCTACAATTCGCTGCGTCGTTTTCGCTCGATGTGTTCGCACATTTGAAATGTAGGAAAGTGTTGTTCGCGAGTTCCTGGAATTTGTTCTGCGCGAGCTCGGCGTCACAAAAGTCGGATTCTCAACATCACCGTTCACCAACATCGCCGTTAGCGCGGCCCTGGTGTCTGGAGGAATGCGCTGCAGAGTGCGATCGATATTCTATGGTGGACGCGGCAGGCATGCGCAGTATCCCCAGATGCATGCAGCGTTCGGATCGGGGTCCGAGGTTCGAGGAGGTCTTGAGGCTCGTTCCAAGTTTTCCTTTTTCGAGTTGAGGGACAGAAGGGAGGAGGGGAGAGGGAGGAGGGGGAGGAGGGGGAGAGGAGAAGAGTGATGATGAGGAGATGGGAGGAAGAGGCGGAGGGGGCGGATGGCACGGAGGCGGGGGAGCGGAAGGATCCATGGGAGGGCTTCCAGAGCAGTTGGGGACCGATGAACATGTTTGCAGACCTCCTGAGACGGCTTGTGTTTCTGATGATCTGACGTTCTTCTTCCTTCGAGGGCTCCCAAATCCAGTGGTTTGTCGTTGCTATCGTCTAAGGGCGTTTTGAAGCCCTGGGGGTGCTTTCTGGCAGATGTGGCAGATGTGGCCTCCGGGCACTGCTCGGAACCGAACCGTCCTGGGCGGTCCTCACGGCCCAAGAACTCGGAAGTCTGGACGGAAACAGCAGAAACAGAAACTGAACGTTGACTTGTGCGGCTCGCGAGTCGTGGGGAACCGTAATCTCAACGGCAAGCGCCCTGGTTCGCGCTTCCTGGGCCTCCTCGGGGTCGCGGGGCAAGCAGCAACAAGAGCAGAGCTCGTGCTGAGAGGCCGGGGCCTCGGAGCTCCTGGCCCCATGCCTGCCCGATCGAGTCACCCCCAGCCCGTCCCGCCCACTGCTCCTCCTCGTCTTTTCTCTCGCCCGTCCCGCCCCTGCTCCTCCTCCACTTCTTCTTCTTCTTCTTCTTCTTCTTCTTCTTCTTCCTCCTCCTCCTCCTCCTCCTCCTCCTCCTCCTCCTCCTCCTCCTCCTCCTCGTTTTTTTTCGTGCCTTTGTTCTTCTGTTTGTCGCCACAGGGCCGCCGAAGTACAGGCCACGGCACGCCAGCGGGAGGGCCGGGTGCCCTGTGGACCTCTCCGGGTCTGCGCCGTCGTCACGGTCGGCTTCGGTGCTGGCCACAGCCCTTTGGGCCGTTCTTGTTCGCAGGCCTAGAGATTGGCACCAACACCAATTTCGGCGGCGTGCCTCCACCGAGGGAAGAAGATCCCGATTTCGGTGATGGTGGTAATATTCTGGCTTCCAAGGTGGCCGAACTATTACCACCAACACCGAAAATCTAGGATCACCTTCCCCCTGTGGAGGCAACCCCCTGTCTTGGTGTTGGTGCCAATTTCCAGGCCTCCGACTTGTGACGACGTTGCGGCGGGATTGCCGCCGTTCGGATTCAAGAATCGTGACGGTTCGAGCGAGAGCAGCGCGTGCTCACACACGACACAACGCAGCCACGCGCCGGCCTACGGCAGAAAGCCAAGAGGAGGGGAAGGGCGGGGAGGAGACGTGACAGATGCTCCTCTACGACCGTGCGCGTTGCATTCATACAGATCTGATGGTTATAGTGAACGGTCTCTTTTTTTACCAGCCTGGAACATATTCCTATCCCTATGCTGGGCACCTCCTCATCACGATGCCAATCTTAGGGATTCCCTTATCTTTTGAGGGCGGATCCCTAAGATTGTCATCACCTTTTGGCGTGTCAATATTAGGGATAAGGGATACGTTCGAGGCTGGTAGTTACTCTTTGTTCTCCCACGGGCGCGAGCCCTCGCGCCCCCTGCTCCCCCCCCACTGGAGCAGACCTCGGCTGTTCTGGGCGCCTGTGCCAAGCAGGTGAGGTCTCCCCCACAGGACGCACTGCTGCAAACAGGCGCATGCAGCAGAGGTCCGGAGCCAGACCCCCCCTCTCTCCCTCCCCCCCGACCCTTCGCCCGAAAACGTTCCTCGGGACAGACAGAGGGATCGAGCCGGACGAAAGGGCAGGATTGGGAAAGGGGGGGTACGAACTTTGCTGCACGCAGCTGGCTTCCGCCCGCCGCCGGGCCCATCCCGAACTTCGACATGCATGGGCGCCTTCCGGCGCCAGGAGGCGCCTGGAAATCCAGCTGCGTGAGCTGATTCTCTGCCATGCCCTTTGCTATCCTACCCTTCAGTCGGGCATGCCCCTCCACAGGGGGAATACTCAAGAATAGTTTTTTTTTGAATAGTCAGGCGACGAGTCTTCTGGCTCGTCTGACTATTTTTGATGATCAGTTGAGTTTTTTCCTCCCAGGATCCGCCCGCAAGAGGACATGCCCGACCGAACCCTGCCCCTTCGCCCCCCCTCCCCCGAAAGTATTAATCTACGGGTGCTCGAGCAGCGTGTGCTGCTCGAGGCCAGACCGCGCTGGGCCTCCTCCGCCCAGGCGCGAGGGCACCCGTGCCGCGCCCTGCAGCCCTGCGGCCCCTCTGGCTGCCTGCGGAGGGCCACCGCGAGCGCCACCACCTCGAAGGGCCTCTGGGCCAGCGGGCAGGGAGCTCTGTGGGCCCCAGAAACGGCAGGGCCGTTTTTCCACCGTTTCCGAAAAGATGTCCCTTGAAAATGGAAACGGCAAAAAAACGGCGACCGGAAACGGAAAACGGCTCCAGGATTGGAACAGGGGCCGGAGCCGGTCAAAAAACGGCGACGGAACCGGTAACAAAAACGGCGTCGGAACCGGGAAAAAAACGGCAAAACGCAACCGGTAACAAAACGGCCTCGTCGTTTCCAGGGCCCACTAAGGCAGGGAGGGAGCAGAAGCGACAGGGGAGGGGCAGGAGCGGGGGGAGGTTCCTCGACGAAGAGAACCTGCCTAAGCATGAACATTCGGAGCTCCGCGCGGGATTCTTGGATCTGCCCTGGGCCCCCCTAGCGGCGCCTTCGGCGCCGGCCCTGGCGCGCTCCGCGCGCCAGGGAGGGGTGTCCTGTGCAGATCGAAGAAATCCGGGCGGAGAGTCAAAAGTTTACGTTGACGCCGTGTTTTGCTTCTCTACATTCTGCAACTCCTTCGCGACAGGATGCCCCCCTGTACTTGAATTGCCCTGTTGGCAGGGACGGCCACGTGCGTTTTGGCGAAGGAGCTGCTGGAGTTGGCGTTCGCTGAAGGGGTCCAACACGTTTGCCTTCGCGCATCTAGCCCATCTGAAGCTCCCTTGTGCCAGTTGGAGACAGGAATACGCTTGAAACTATCTCTCCAGATTTACCGCATGCGCATGTTCGCCAAGAACAAGGCCGCCGCCGTTGTCGTAAGGGGCAGCGCTAGGAGCTGTTGTTATTGCCGAGCCTCTCCCGCTCTCTGTCTCCGTCTCTCTCTCCATCTCTACTCCCCGCCCCCCCCAAGTCGTGGCCCATTCCCGTTCGGTCGGTTCGACTCGACTTCGAGTTCGCCTCGCTCGGTTCGATACGATGTAGGGTTGCCAGCGATCCGATCTGGCCCGAGGCTTGCAAGGCGCGACTGTGCATCCTGGCGCCGCCGAGTCGATCCGGTCTGTCTACTCCGTGCCGACGCAGCCCGATCCCACGCCCGCTCCGATCCGGCCCGACCCCCCGACTCGACACGGGCTGATCCTACTATCCTGCCCTTCCACCTCCCCGTTTCTCGCCGCCTCTCTCCCTCGCCGCTGCCCCTCCCCTCCTGCAGGGCTCGTCTCGACTCCTCCGATTCGATGTGATCCGATTCGATGTCGATGGCCTTCGCCTCCGAGTCGATCCGAGTTTGGATTCCGAGTCAGGCTCCAATTCCTCATTGGAGGCGTACTGGCCTCCCGATTTCCGCCGGGCCGGCTCGACTTTTCCCGACTCGGCTGTCGATATCCGCCGATCCGATGAAGTTCGATGGTCGATCCGAGTCTGGGCTCTCCTGCCTCCTGTCTGCTCTGACACCCGCCGAGGTGGTTCTGTCGACCCTCGGCCGCTCTTCGCCTCGGCCCCGTTTTTTTTTTTTTTTTTTTTTTTTTGTTTTTTTTTTTTTTTTTTTTTTTGTTTTTTTTTTGTTTTTTTATTATTATTATTATTATTATATATATGTATATATAGTATTATTATTATTATTAATATGATTATTATCATCATTATTATTATTATTATTATTAGTATTATTATGATTATTATTATGATTATTATTATTATTACTATTATTATTACTAGTAGTATTATTATTACTAGTTTTAGTATTGGTATTATTATTATACTTATTATCATTATCATTATTAGTAGTATTATTATTACTTTTATTATTATTATTATTAATATTATTTTTTATTATTAGTATTATGATTATTATTATGATTATTATTATTACTAGTATTAATATTATTATTATTAGTAGTATTATTATTATTAGTTTTAGTATTGGTATTATTATTCTTATTAGTACCATTATCATTATTAGTAGTATTATTATTTTTACTATTATTATATATTTATAAACAAAAACAGTCCCATACAGTGGAGGCGCGTGCCAAGAAACGCCCTGCTCGCCTCCAGGCTGCCCTGGGCGTCCTGGGTTTCGACGGCCTCGCCGTGGGAGGCGCTGCGCTCCCACGCCTGACATCGATGGACGTCTCGGGGTCTCGGGGCCGGGTGTCTTGTGGAAGGTTTCTTGTGGACTGGCCTCCACTGTATGTTCTTTCGGATGCAACTCCTGAGGGCCAAATTCTGATTTTGCCCTGGTCCGAAATCCGGCCTAATCCTTCTCAATCCCGCGCAATTTGGCTGAATCCCGCTTCATCCCGCTTCATCCGGCTTAATCCGAGGCCCACTCTGGCGTAACAGCCCTGCAATGGGGCTGAATCCGCCTTCCTTAAGAGGAGGAGGAGGAGGAGGAGGAGGAGGAGGAGGAGGAGGAGGAGGAGGAGGAGGAGGAGGAGGAGGAGGAGGAGGAGGAGGGTGGGAACAGGAGGAGGTGGATGACGAGGAGGAGGAGGAGGAGGAGGACGAGGAGGAGGACGAGGACGATGACGAGGAGTGGAGTGGAGTGGACGCCATCACGAGGTGATATCCAGGGTCACTTGCCACCCGATACTCGAGCTGCCTGTTGAGCTCGGGTGAGCGCCTTAGGCCATAACCCACGCTCCAACCGTCTGAGATATTCTCTTCTGGTGGGGGTCGACAGCCCAGTGCAAGGCGCTTTGAGATCTTGGGACAGGAGCTCGTTACAAAAACAGCCACACGATGTACACTGCCACACCCCCAGAGTAACGTGAAAGGCCATCTTATGCGACAGCCCCACCCAAACCCCACAAAGATGCAAGGGTTGACCAGCGGGCAGATGCAAGACACCTGGGTTCCCATGAACGAGTTCAAAACAGGGGGACGATCGCCACTCCGTGGCTGTGTCGACCGAGGCAGACCCCCTACAACGAAGACAGCAGCGGCCATTCGGCCCGAGGCAGTGGGAAGAGTGGAAAACAGACAGAGCAGCAGGCGAGGGAGGAGGAGGGAGAGGAGGCGGCAGGGGCGGCTCCACGCCGTCCCCGTCCTGGGCGCCGCCACCACCGCGTCGAGCGCCGCGAGGTCGCGGCCGCTGTGCCTGTGAGTCCGAGCGGAAAACCTCCAGGGCGACACGCAACAACCGATGACGGACGAGTAAAGCATCCCTGTCCACTCGCACCACGCGAGCTCGATGAGAGCTGTCCAGTCTACATTTTTTTGCGGCCACTCCAGCAAGCTCGTCGGCAACTATGTTGCCGACAACCAGGAACCTCGGAACTTTCTTCTGGATGATCTGAATGGGGGAGAGGTGGGAGTCGACCTTGAGGACGGAGATAAGTGACGTGTCACGCCCCGTGCTCTGAATAATCGAACGAACCGTATCCCAATCCCCCTTGTTGTCTCCTGAGGGCCTATTGTAAAGCCCATTGTACCAACCATCGCACACTCCCGAAGCGTCCGTGACGTAGATCATGGGGCCTCTGGAATGCAGAAGGGCTAACATGAGCCCTTGGAGTTCACCTCGAGGAACCGTTTGCTTCCGTCCAGGGAGAGGGCCTAAGACTCCAGCTCGAACCACGGGGGGTCGTACGATGCTAAAGTGACAGCAGCAATTCCTATACGCCGAAAGGCGGGCTCTCGAGCGTAAGGACCTCCAGATGCATCACCGAAAATGACAACAGGGTCTTCAATGTACCCTATACCCAAGGTGGTATCATTCAACTCGGGCGGTTCGTTGCCTCCCACTGTGGCCCAGTCTGGATCTGAGCTAGCTGGAAGTACTGCCGTCCATGCACGCGGGATGAGCCCGCGGAACCAAAAGCACGCCTCGCTGTCGCCACAAGACACAGCACTTTCAGGGCCGATACGATGCCTAGTTTCGTCGACGACTCTCTGCCGAGGCCAAAACCCCCTTGTCGCAACATTGGTCATGGTCTCGGCCAAACGATGCCCGTGTTTACTGTTCTGAAGGCTCCGAATAAAACGTCGATAACTGGTGTTGTCGATCCCGTTAGCTGAACCCTCACCACAGTAATGCCGAGCGGCCTTCGCCCACGCAGCATCTTGAAACGTTGGTTGAAACTCGTCTAGTACTTCAGAAGTGTCTTCGAATCCAGTGAGACCACTATCAGGGAAAATCCAATGGGCGCCTTCGTCACCTGGGGTGGCCCACTCGGTTGGGGACGTGGGAGTCCACCCTACTTCAAGCATATACCCAATAAGAGCTCCCATGGGCCCACGAACTTGCCGGGAGAATTGAGACGGAACAATATTCTGAAGACACCTAACAACTTGCGGCCAAGCCTGACGGACCATCGGGCGAAGATCGGGAAAGCAAAACCACGTACCGAGCCAGAGCTTCATGGTGCCCCTGGGAAACTTCACGAACGGGTCGGCACCCGGGGTCTTCAAATCCAACAAAGTAGTAAGACAGCGACCATTCTGCTTGGAGCCCATGGAGGCACCCAGCCTACGCCGAAAACCGACACGATGAGACCCGAAAGAGCCGTGAACCTGATGTCCGTAAGATCCCGCGGCTTGGGCCCCTGCTCGTTCCAGGCGCCCTGTAATCTGATACCGACGAGAGGCCCGAGCGAACTTCCTAATCTTGGCCGTCGTGGCAGCAGCTTTGACCACACGCTTGCGCCGAGAGGAACGAGCAGGACGGCCAGCACCGAGGTCCACGCCAAGGTACTGCGCTTGTAAACCATTCTGAACAGCATAGCCCAACTTCTTGAGCCTGGCCGCAACCTGCTTGCCATCGCTCGACTTCGAGCAAACTAAAACACTCTTGGGGGCTGCCTTCAACCCTGCCTTGCTGAGCTCGTCGCACGTGTCACGGAGACAGCCAAACAGTTGTGCACGAACGACTTTCCTGGACCCCGTCACTCTTTGATACAGGTCGTCCACCCGGATCCTCATGGACGTCCCAACATGCACCGAAGTGATTTTGGCTTGGCTGAAATACACCATGCACCTCCCGAGCCTGACTCCACTCCGAAGGCCCTGGACGATGCTGCGAGAAGGCTGAAATGCGGTCGAAAAACACCCGTCTTGAGCGAGAGTCCGAGGAGCGACGCAATTCTGGAGTTCTAACCCAAGAACCGCAGCGGGAAATTGAAGCCGAAGGGCGGTACTCACGAGAGCCTCCCAAGACATCGAATCATAGAAAGCTTACACGTCGATAAGACCCGTGCCGAATTCGATCCCTAGGCGCATACATGCCTCATTTTGCAGAGCTCGAACGAACGCCTCGCGAAGAGCAGAGTTACCTCGGATCGCGGCATCCCACTCTGGCTCCGAGGAGGAGGTCCAGAGGCGGACGTCTTCTTCACGAGCTGCTGACCACACTCTGGTGAGCATGGCCAGCAGCCCGATCACCCTGTCGCCTCCGGACTTCTTCCCCCGCAACCTTCCTATGACCAGCAGGACTTGCCAGGGCCACGTAATCCGAAAGTCACACGCTTGAAAAAGCTGCGCAAGCTGAAGGGGCCCTTCGCGTGGAAGCCGCTGCATATCTGTTGGAGAGAGCTGATCGACCCCCTGACCAGCACGTGCCTTCATACTCTGGAGCGCGGCTTCCGCCCGATCGCAAGTGAGAACGGGCAGTTGATCGTCTTCAGTTGCAGCACGGATGCGGTCAAATAACTCGCCTAAAGAGTCAAGTGAGACGTCGCCTGGGCTCCAAAGCTGATGCCATTTCTTGGCCTTGTGATCAAAAACGTCCCGAGGGTGAAAAAATCATTTCCCCCCGACCTCCACCTCGAAGGAAGGAAGGGGACCCCGCAGGCCTCGGGGGCCGAAATCCATTCCCTAAAATCATTGAGTGAACTTTGAAGATCCCTCCGCTCGGCACGTCCAGCCACCCGCTTGGCAACTGAAAATTCCTTCTCCAAAATCGGAAGGCCGACATCCTGCACGCGCATCAGTTGCGACTGCCAAAGAGACCATGCTCCGTCGACTGGGTCCAGCGAAGCCAACGGCAGGTGAACTGAATCTGGTACGTCACTAGCCAAGGCACGGCACGCTGCAGCAAGCCGAGAGCGCTGGACTTCCCCGTTCCCTTTAGTCATAGGATGACAAAGGCCCTGAAGTACCGTGCGCACCCTACCCCGCCAGCAAGCTACCTGCCCGCGCAGTGGTTCCGAAGGAACCTGATCCAGCATATGCAGCACTCTGTCCCGAAAGACTGGCCCGTGTGAGCGAGAATGAATTGGCTCGGGCTCTCCGTGATGTGCAGAAATAACATGCTCAACTGTGCGCACCCATTGTGAATAAAGCGCGCTCACGCTCATGATGCGTTCGCGCCCCACGTAATAAGCTCCAGAACTCCGAAAAACTGACCAAACTTCTTGCTCGGACCCCACAGGAACATACCCCACGTCACGCTTGGCGGCCCCCCAGGACTCGCCGGGGATGTGGAACGACGGGAGGGGAGGGAGGGAAGGAGAGGGGAGCTGCTGACTGCCTGAGAGACCATTGTCTGCACCGCTGGTCGTGGGTGAACCTGGGGGTTCATCGGGCTCAAAAGGTGGCTCGTGGGCTTCTTGATCGAGCTCAAATTCAAAACCTAGATCGGGGGACTCGGACATCGCGGGCCCCCGCGCCCCACCAGAGGAGGACCCCACCAGGGAGGCGAGGGAGAGAGGGGCCCCAGGGAAGCCGCCTTCGTCGTCCGAGTCCCCGAAAACAAGCCGTGGCGCCTGACTCTGCTGAGAGTCGCCTTCATTCAAATCACCGTAAAGCTCGTGGTAGCATTCGTCCATGGCAATACGTGCCGCCGAACGCTTTGTCGCGTCAGCAGCCCGTCCCACGCTGGACTTCGACCCTATTTGAGGAATGTGCTTCGGCCTCGGGGCCTGAGGCAATTTGGGCGCCATGTGGAGCTCTCGGCATAGCAGCTTCTGGCAAGAGCTGCGGATGACCAGCACCAACCCACAATGCGGGCGCCAGGGTACATCCACGCGTGCCTCGAGACGGGAAATGAAAGGCACGCTGGATTTGCTGGTTAAGACGAAATCTATGTGCGTGCCTGATCCTAGCGAGCAGGTGTACTGAAGCGGACACTTGTAAATCACACCGTCAACTTTGTTTACGAAACCTACACGCTGCAGGGTTTCAGGAGCCATGTTCCAACCCCCGATCACGACCCAAGGAAGGCGACACTGCTGCAGCAGCGCCCAAAGCCGAGCAAACCGAGGAAGATTTCGGCCCTTGTACCCCTCGCCTGAGTAGGCGTAAAAGGAAACTAAGATAAACGAGAAACCTTTCTGATGGCAAACTACAGCGGAAAACCCATCGAGGCTGGCCGAACCGTCAACTGTAAGGTCCTTCCATGCACCGCTGGCCTGGGCAAGTGAGTGAACTGACAAGTGTTTCCTGGCTAGAATGAACTCTCCCCCTTCGTTGGCGCGAGACTGACCCGCAAGGGTCGCGCCGTTTCCCGTGCCGCGGGCGGGGTTCAAAAAGCTCCTAAACTTGGCCTTGTAGGCCTCAGACTTCCATCGGGCGACGTCGTCTGTGGACCCGATGCGGGTCTCAACTAAAGCAAAAATGTGATAACTGGCAGCCCTACTGCTGGTGAGAAACCCCCGCGATTTCTTGCTCAGCTGAGTCACATTCGCAAAGAAAATCTGCGTTTCACCATTCGAAGGCTGCTCAGTCCCCGACGAGGCCGATCTCGATGCAGTCATCCCAGCCGACTGCGTGCTCGAGGGGCCCCGCTGCCTGGATCATGGACTCCCGAGGCCAGCGCCATGCGCGGCCTGGGCGGCGGCTAGCTTGGCGGCGCTGATGCGCTGCGCCTCCTCAGCCAGCTCAGCGTCTGCCTGGTCCTCGCCGACGGCGATGTCCTCTGCAGTGCGCCCTTCGCCGCCTGCCTGCGTCCTTCCCGACTCGGCACCAGCGCCACCGCCGCCACTGCTGCCGCTGCTGCTGCCTGTGGCCTCGCCGTCGAGACCCTTCCGCTTCTTGGCCAGGCGGGTCATGATGTCCTCCTGCATCTTCGCCATGCGCGCAAGCATGGTCTCGACCTCGGAGGACTTGTTACCCGCCAGGTCGCGCACCCCCTTCAGGTCGGTCTCCAGCTGCTTGAGGTCGGCCCTCTCCGTCTCGCTGACCTACAGCGTGTCCAGCTTGCTGAAGAAGTCATCGTCCCAAGAAATGGAGATGAGCTTCTTGGTGTCGCCCCCCCTGGCTGTGGGAGCTGCCCTTGGTGTCCTTCGCAATCACGCCGTTCAACTCGGCGAGGGCTCTAACGGCCTGCAGCTTCGACTTCTCCGCCTTGGCAAGGACGAGCGCTGCAGATGCTTCGCGCTCAGTGGCCCTGTCAAGCACTTCTCGTGCACGAAGGAGAGCTGAAATTGCTTGATCGTGCTTGGTGGCTGCATCCCGCACTGCAGCTGTGGCACGCCTGATGGACTCCTCGGGCGTGACGCACTTCTCGATCGGGATGTCTTCGCTCTTCAGCCTGCCGATGTGTGCCTCCAATATCGTCTTCATCGCAGGGTCGGACGTGACACTCAGCGCCTGCAGATATACGGACAGGGGATTACTCGGACTCGTCGCCGATCCTGCCTTTGGAGGCGGAGGTGCCAACGCCAACTGGTTCCCGTTGGGTGCTCCGCCCTTGGAACTGCCCTTGGATGCTTTCGGACGGTGCAACGTGACCACGGCTTGGCACTTCGGACATCGACAATGCTTATTCCATAAAATACGGTTCCATTCCTGACGCCCACACTGCTGACACTTGGACCACCCTGACTCGAACGGCTCGGTGGTGTCAGGCGCAGGGGCCGTTGCCGTACTCCCCTTCTTTTTGCCCATGGCTCAAGAAGAGGTGATGAACTGCCCTCCTTAGTCAACCTGTTAGAGCGAAAGAGAACCTCTGCCCTGCCAGGTGTCCCTCAAGCGCCGACGGGGAGGCGAGGGCTGGCTCAGGGCAAAATGCTCTGAGCCGGGATGGCTTGAGGGAGGAGGAGGAAGACGGAGGAGGAGGAGGAGGAGGAGGAGGAGGAGGAGGAGGAGGAGAGGAGGAGGAGGAGAGGAGAAGGAGGAGGAGGAGGAAGGGGGGACCAGGAGGAGGTTGGATGAGGAGGAGGAGGAGGAGGAGGAGGAGGACGAGAGGAGGACGAGGACGAGGGAGGAGGAGGAGGAGGAGGAGGAGGAGGAGGAGGAGGAGGAGGAGGAGGTCTGCTCCCGCCGCCCCGGGCCACCGCCGCCCCTGGGGGACCGGGCCGCTCCCAAAAGGCCCGCTTCCCCAGGCGGGGGGCAACGGGGGCGGGTGGCCTCCACGAAGGGGGGGTGCCCGCCGCGCGCCCATCTTGAGGGGGCGGCCCGCGAGGAGAGGAGAGGAGAGGAGAGGAGAGGAGAGAGGAGAGGAGAGAGGAGAGGAGAGGAGAGGAGGGAGGAGAGGAGAGGAGAGGAGGAGGAGGAGAGGGAGAGAGAGAGGGAGGGGGAGAGGGAGGGAGAGGAGGAGGAGGAGGGAGGGGAGGAGTAGAGGGAAGGAGGAAGGAGGAAGGAGGAAGGAGGAAGGAGGAAGGAGGAAGGAGGAGAGGAGGAGAGGAGAGGAGGAGGGGAGCAGAGGAGGAGAGGAGGAGAGTCGAAAGGAGAGGCCTTTTTCCTCCCTCGCTTAGGCCACCCCCCATTGCCGCCCGCCCGAGCCTGGTCCGTCGCGGGCCCCGGGGCCTTTTACGGGTTGGCCCGGGTCGAAACCATACAGTGCGGCGTGGTTGTGTCGGAGAGACGGCGAGGAATTGGCCGCAGTGATGTGAAGAACGCGAATGTTGAGGCCGAGAAGAATGGCGCATGGGGATGAGTGGTGGAGGAAGGAGATCATGAGGAGTCTCGGTGAGGAACATGGCGTGGATTAGGAGGAGGAGGAAGAGGAGGAGGAGGAGGAGGAAAAGGGGGAGGTAGGGAGGACGAGTAGAAGGATGATGTTTGGACCTGTTGCAGGTGCTTGCCAAATCGCGCTTCTGGTACTTTATGAAGAAGCTCAACAAGGCGACCCTCGTTCTCGATACCGCTACCCCGCTATCGTTTTCGCCTTGTGGGCCTCCTGGGAGGCCTTTGTCGCCACGGAGGGATCCACCTCGAACGTCTGGTCAGAGCACACCCTGGAAGAGGTCTGGGGAGCGGCTGCACTGATCTGGTTTGGCTTCCCCATCCCTTCTCACTCCCCAGACCCCCGACGTCATTTTTTTTTGGTTTTATGACGTCGACGCCCAAGGTCTCGACCCATGCCCCAGGACCGGCTTTTCATCCGGAGTTGTTTTTTTTTGACGGTCCCGGGGCCCAGCGAGGGCCCCCAGGAGGCCGAAAAGTGCCAACGGGGCCTGGGTTCTCCTCTCCTTCCCCTCACCTTTGCCTCCAGGCAGTGGAGGCAGCAACGAGAGCGATCTCTCAGAGCACGTCCGCCCAGAGCCTCCCACAGGCCCTCCAAGGGGCCCGGTGCTCCGCGGCAGATATCGGAGCAGCCACCCGTGGTGGATGTTCGACCAGCTCGGGGCCCCCACGGGCCCCAGGACCGCCAGCAGCGGCTCAGGACCCAGAGATGCGACGTCCTGATTTTGTCAGGACGGCGTCCCTGGAAGTCCCGACCCGTTCCCCGGGATCGGTTTTCCGTCCTGGACGTTTTTGGACGGTCCCGAGGCCCGGCGAGGCCCCCCCAGGGACGAACATAACTAACAATTTCCCGTCTCGATTTTTTACGACGCGATCATGTCTGGGGGTGAAAAGTTGGCCCGTGGGAAGCGGTCCAGACCTCCCAGAGCCCACGCGTCGCAGAGAAGTTGGAGCGCCAGATGCCCAGGCCGTCGTCGTGCAAGAATCCCAGCAGGCGGCTCGCTGCCACATTGCGGCCCCCAGGAGCCCTCGCCGGGCCCGTCCCTGTCAGGGAGCGACCCAGGACGATACGCTGGTCCGAGGGAGTGGGTCGAGATCTCGATCCCCAGACCCCCCTGGAGATCTCGATCCCCAGACACCCCCCCGACGTCTAGATTTTTCACAGCGTCGGTTCGTTCCGCGTCGTCTTCGGACGGTCCCGAGGTCCGGCCAGGGGCCCCCGGAGGCCGAAGAAAGCGACAAAAATTGCCGTCGTGATTTTTCGCACCGCGAGGGTGTCTGGGTCGCGGGGTCAACGTGGTGAAAGATCACGTCGGGAGTCCGGGCCCCGCGTTTCCTCGGCCCATGGGCTCGATGTCGGGGCAGATCTCGGCCCGGTGCCCCGGGGCCGGAGGCGGGCCTGCGAGGGCGAGTGCGAGGAGGACCGCGGCAGCGGCGACGTCGAGGGCGAGGGCGACTCGTCGGGACGACGTCGACGTCGAGGACGGGGGCGACGATAGCGACGACGGCGACGACGGCGACGAGGGCGAGGGCGGCCGTGGCGGCGACGGCGGTGGCGGCCACGACGCGACGACGACGAGGGCGAGCATGGCCGAGGCGAAGAAGAGCGGAGGGGAGCTGCTGGCTGTCAACGAGCTCTTCGACCGGGGCCCCACGAAGGCTCTCGCGGGGCCGCCTCCGTGGGAGGAGCGGGGGAGGCAGGGAAGGAAGGAAGCAACGCACCAGCTCGATGGAGGCTACAGAGTTCTTTTCTTGACCGTGCTGTCGCCGCCGCGTCCCCCGCGGTCCCGCCCCCAGAACGAGTGCGCCCCCGCAGGAGCAGGGCAGGATTCGAAGTCGAAGAAGAAAGGCTGCCGTAAGCATACACTTGTGGCGCTCCGCGCGGACTCCTCGGATCTGCGCTGCACTGCCCTGCCTGGCGGCGCCCCCGGCGCCGCCGCGCGCCACGGGGGGGAGGCCCAGCGCAGATCCGAGACGTCCGCGCGGAGCGCCACAAGTTCCTGTGCCCATACGCTGTGCTCTTTCTCTCTCTCTCTCTCTGCCTCCAGGAGAGGGCGGGCCCGCGGCACAGCGCCGTGCTGGACTCGCGCTCTCCCTCCGCGCTTCTTCCGCGGCGGCTCGGCGAGCGCGCGGCGCGGCCGGGGCCTCCCCGAGCCGGGGCCGCGGCCGGGCGAGCCGGCGCACAGCACAGCGCGAGGGGGGGGGGCGCGTGGCGTGGGCGGGGAGCGGGCGGCGCCCTCGGGCCGCCCAGGGGCCTGGGCGCGCAGTGCGGCGGCCTCGGGCGAGGTGGGTCAAGTCGGGCCTGTCCCTCTACAGGAGGAGTACGCACACACAAACACACACACACACATATACATATATGTACAACTGTATATATATATATATATATATATATAGATTTTTATATATATATATATATATATATTATCATGCGCACCTCTCCGAGGGAGTAGAGCTCAGAGGCGATTAATGCGTACAGGAGGAGCACTCACACATACACATATGTATATATATATATACACATAAAATAGTCGGGGGAAGAAGTTTTGAGCATGTGTTGGCCATTTGTTGACCATCCTTCGTCCAAAATTCGCCTGTAGAGGGACACGCCCGACCCAAGAGCTGGGCGAGGGAAGCCGGGGCGCCAGGCTGCGGCCGTCGGCCGAGCTGGCTCTGCACTGCTTGCCGCTGCTGCTGCTGCTGCTGCTGCTGCTGCTCCTCTCGCGCTTCCTTCCCCATGCTGCTTCCTCCTCTTCCCTGAGCCATTGGGCGACTTCTCGAGCTGGTAGAGCAAGAGTGCGGGAGCCGCTGGACCCAGGCACGCGTAGCACGATTCCGCGGAGGGCAGGGCTGTCCTCGCTGCTGCTTTGGCTGTTCTCGCGCTTCCTGTCGCGGACTCCCCCGGGCTGCCCGTTGCGGCCTCCCTGGGGTGCTCCGAGGTGTGCGCGGTTTTTCCGCCCGGCCGGCGATCACTTGCGAAGCCTGCCTCTGCTTGGGATTCCTCTGGCTCAACATCCTTGGAACTCTGAGCCCGATATGGGGTTTCAGACATCTGACCTGCAGGGTTCTAGGGCTCCTAGATTCGGGGGCGGCAAAGGGGGGGGGGATGACTAGGAGGAGGAGGGGGGGGGGATATCATGCCGGGAGCCATGATATCTTCCCAGATTCCATGGCGCCTCTTATTATTTCATGACGTCCCTGGTCCCCCCGCTGGGCCGCGCACATGCCGCCGGTCACGATCTGCACACCTCCCTCTTGGCCACCCCCCTGCCGGCCGCTCCCGATAGATAGGGTCGGGGCAGATGGGCTCGGAGGCCCGCGCCGCGTCGGCCGATGCATCGGCGATGCATCGGCGACGCGGCTCGATGTGCAGCTTGCGTTTCTCCACGCCGACGTCGCTGATGCATCGCCGACGTCGCCAGTGCATCGCCGATGCATCGGCGATGTATCGGCGATGTGCCGGCGGTGCGGCGAGATCATCTGGCCCCATCCACTCCGACTCCATTTCGGAGGCCTCTGAGGGTGAGGTTCACGCTTTGTTCCAGCCGCGCACAGCGGGGGGGGGCGACAGGGGAGGGCGCTTCTCAGAAGCATCCCTGCTCCTGAGAAGGCGCGGGCCTTATCTGTAGGTGCAAGTGCGGCGCCTTCTAAGAAGCAGCCTCCTTCTAAGAGGCCATCCCCCCTCCCTCCACCCCCTCGTTCGCTCCGCCGGTTGTTGTCCCATCGCGCCGCCGAATCAGGGCTGCGTGAGGGAGCTCGTCCGTCGTCCATCGTCGCCGTCCGTCGTCCGTGGTCGTCCGTCGTCGTCGTCGTCGTCCGTCGTCGTCGTCGTCGTCGTCGTCCGTCGTCGTCGTCCTTCGTCGTCGTCGTCGTCATCGTCGTCCGTCGCCCATCGGCGTCGTCGTCATCGTCCGTCGTCGTCGCCGCCGCCGCCGCCGCCGCCGTCGTCGTCGTCGTCAGTCATCCTGGCTGGCCGCGCCGTTTGCGCTGCGGCCTTGGTGCCCCCCACAACTGCCCTGTATTGTTAATATTATTATTATTCTTCTTCTTCTTCTTCTTCGGGGGGAGGCCCTCGCCACCGCGGCCGGATCCGCGTCAACGTCCGGGGGTTCAGATCGGGGGGGGGGGCACGTGTCCAAATCGCATTGTGCAGGAGGGGGGCACCATGACGAGGAGGGCGTCGAATATGGCCGAATCTCCGAATTGCGAGACACATCGAGATTCACCAATCAGCTTACTTTGCAAATGAGCGCACCGACTGCGACGAGCATATTTCAAGAGCACGACTTTGCAACGCCCAGGCCAGGAGTGTCGTTCCCAGGCGACTGGCACGGGTGGGTCAGCCTGCGAGGTTCATGTTGAGGTGTTGCGCGTTTCGCTTGCAGAGCCCCCTGGCTCCTAGGCGACCAGGTCTGTATCATGCGGCTCGTGCTCGAGACCCCGACGAGTCCTCGCGCTGCTCTTCTGTAGTCCTCCGACGGAGCCGCCACGGCCTTCCCCAGTTCGCTGCCTGCGCTGGCGCACTTGTCAGCAGGTGAAGAACTACGGGGTCTGGCTGCGCTACGAGAGCCGCACGGACACCCACAACATGTACAAGGCGCCGTGGACTGGGCTAGTGCGTTGTGACACATGGGGCGTTCCACTTCGGGCCTTGTCTTAGAGGAATAGAAGGGTAAACTTTTCGCCCCTGGCGGATACGGCGAAAGGCTCGCGGAAGCGAGCAGCCCGAGATGGGACCATGGCTGGCGAAACCAGCGTTTCTGGAGTTGGCCATGTGGGGAGGCATAGGAAGCCTGCCCCGGATCGCGTTTTGGCCAGGTTTCGATGGGGGACCTGATCGTGGCGAGGAGGGCGCCTCAGGAAGCAAGACAAGGCATAAGCAAACAGAGCAGACAACCACGATCCCCATTTCAGGAAGACGACGAGGACGGCGACGGCTCCGACGCTGTGGCATGTCGTCGTCCCGTTGCGGCTGGCCTGACGCTGCCTGCCCGAGGAGTTCCGCGACATCACCATCAACGGCGCCATCAGCCAGCTGTATCAGGAGACGGTGCCTGTCTCTGAGCGGAGCCTGCCGCGAGAGCGTGGTTGCGCGTTTCGCCTCCCGTATAAAGGGGGTTCTTCGAGCCAAGGTGCCAGCGGCACGACACCGAGCGGACATCGCCGACGATGGGGCCGGAGGCGGAGCAGATAGACGCAGCGATCATGCAGTGCGGGCTTATCAGAGGTTGATAGAACCCCCCACCATGCCCAGAGGGTTGGCGAATTGCAGTTTTCCCACTTCTCGAGAGGGTGTTGCAGTCGCGTTTTGTGTGTGTGTGTGTGTGTGTGTGTGTGTGTGTGTGTGTGTGTGTGTGTGTGTGTGTGTGTGTGTGTGTGTGTGTGTGTGCGTGCGTGCGTGCGTGCGTGCGTGCGTGCGTGCGTGCGTGCGTGCGTGCGTGCGTGCGTGTGTGTGTGTGTGTTTGTGCTGTGCTGTGCTGTGCTGTGCTGTGCTGTGCTGTGCTGTGCTGTGCTGTGCTGTGCTGTGCTGTGCTGTGCTGTGTCGTGTCGTGTCGTGTCGTGTCGTGTTGTGTTGTGTTGTGTTGTGTTGTGTTGTGTTGTGTTGTGTTGTGTTGTGTTGTGTTGTGTGTGTGTGTCCAGGCCCGCGCCCCCCCCGTGGTTCTGGTCCAGGGCCGCTTTTTCATTACATGGTGTTTGGCTAAAGTGCTTTCTTCGGGTCAGAATTTAATGGGGGCCGATGTATCGGCGATGCGGCTCGATGTGGCCCGATGTTCGCCACGTAGACGTCACCGATGCATCGCCGACGTCGCCGAAGCATCGGCGATGCATCGGCGATGCATCGCCCATGATGTATCGCCGATGTGGCGCGATGCTCCGACCCAATTTTCTCGGATCCCGTCTAGGAGGCCTCGACAGCTGGGGGGGGCTATGACTAGGGCGGATGGATCTCATTCCCGGGGCCATGATATCATCTCAGATTTCATGGCGCCTTTTCTTATCTCAGTACAGTCGGGACGCTGAAGAAGGAACCCTTTTCGTTGGGGAGGGGCTCGGTGTTCCTTGTTTCAAAGTGTGCCTCGGGTTTTCCTGAGGTTTTCCATGGGAAATCGAGGTTGAACTTATGGGAAAAAGGGGCCTCGTTCCTTATTTAGGGTTCCTTAGGTCAACGCCTCGACTGTACGACTCCTGGCTCCCCCTTTGGTGGTCGAGTACGTACCTCGGGCCATGATTTGCAGATCCCACTCTTGAGCGCCTCCCCCCTCGGACGCCCCCGAAGCTGGAAAAGCAGGCACCCCCGAGCGCTCTGCCGCAAGGAGCCCTGGGTTTAAGTCTCGACGGGCGCAGGAGGATGTCCTGGGCTTCGATGGGCTTGCTATGGGAAGCGTGCCGCTCCCACGCCAGAGGTCAATCGACGTCCGGGGGTCCCAGGGCTGGGTTGGCTGTGGAACGCCTCCTGTGGTCGAGCCCCTGCCGCACTGGGCCTCCGCTGCGCCCTTGGACGCGCGAGCGAGGCCCGAGGACGGCGCGCGGAGGGGCGCCGGGGAACAGCCGGCCCCGCCCGAGGCCCGGGCGTCGGGCGGGTGGCCCTGCGGGGAGGCCTGCCCGGGGCGGTCCAGACAACAGGGCCGGACCTCCGCGCCGTGTTGCTGGCCTTCGGCTGTGCCTTTGTCTGTCGTTTCGGGAGGGGGGTGTGCAGGAGGACAGGCAGAGCAAAGCGAGCAGCAAGGCGAGACCAAAGCGAAAAACAGCGTTGGGGTCCAGCCCTCGCAGGGGTTGTCGTCTCTGCCTCGGCGGACGGGGCGGCGCACGGGTCGGCGGAGGTAGAACGAGGCCGCCTCCGCCGGCGGAAGGGCGGCGGGAGGCGGCGGAAGCAGAAGATGCGCCCCCAAGAGATGACAACGATTCCAGACCCCCTCGGGTAATGAAAAAATCATGACAGGAGGTTTTTGGTTATTTTCGGCCTCTGGGGGCCCTCACCGGGCCTCGGGAGCGTCGAAAAACGACTCAGGATGCAGAGCCGGTCATAGGGAAAGGGTCGGGACCTCCAGGGGTCGACGTAATGAAAAAATCATTACGTCGGGGGTCTGGGATTCTGGGTTCAGGGTGTTCGGGCTCCACCGTGTGGGGGGTGAAGAAAAGGGGCCCTTTGGGACCCCTCTGCCCCAAATGGCCCTTGGAGGTTTTTCTGATTCACCCCAGTACCACCCGCCGGAGAGGAAAACGAGGAGGAGGATTAGGAGGAGGAAGAGGAGGAGGAGGAGGAGGAGAAGGAGGAAGGGGGAGAGGGAGAGGGAGGTGGAGAGGTAGGGAGGAGCACACGCGAAAGCGAAGCCGACGTTAGAGGGAGCAGGGGAGGGAACGACGGGACGCAGAGAAGCTGGAGGACATGCGAAGATCAAGGACGACGACCCAGACATGCGACGTCCTGATTTCTTCAGGACGGCGTCCCTGCTGGAAGCCCCGACCCCTTCCCCGGGACCGGTTCTTCGTCCCGAGCCGTTTCGTGGACGCCCCCGAGGCCCGGCGAGGGCCCCCCCCGGGGCCGAAAATAGCTAGAACCCCCCCGTCCCGATTCTTCCTACTGCAACGCGATCATGTCTGGGGAGCGGAGGGCGCGGGGGGCGAGAAGACCGCGGGCGGCAGGCGGCCAGCAGCCCAAAAAGGGGCACGGGCACACCGGGCGTGTGCGGCCCGGCTGCTGCGGCCCCCCCGCCCCCCGCTGCTCCTCGCCGACCTTCGGGTGTTGCTAGAAGTAGCCCTGGCCCAGGGTGCCCCCAGGATTCTCGGGGTGGCCCCGACGGCCTCCAGGGCACCCCGAGGCCCAGAGCGCCCCAGGGGCTCCACAGTGGAGCGGAAGGCTGGGGGGCACCTCGGGCCAGGAGTACCAGCAACACCCGAGAACTCTTCGGCGTCTGAGCGTCCCTCCTTCCGCTCGGCCGTCCCCCCCACCCCGTCTTTGCCCGCCGGCCACTTCGCAAGCTATAGTGTTAAATCGGGCCTGTCCCACAGGAGGAATCGTCAAACATAGTTGTTTTAACAAGAGTCTGGGGACGCTGTTTCAAATCTTATGTTTGACCAGCTGGGGGTATGTTTTGAGTATTTTGATTTTTTCGCCCAGGATCCCCCTGCAGGAGGACAGGCCCGACTTTAAAGCTAGTGCCCCTCTCCGGCTTCTCGCTGGAGCGGAGTTCGCCGCCTCGCCGCCGACGAACAAGAACTGTGTCCCCGCACGCGGGGCGTGGCCTGGCGGTCGGCGGCTGGCGGGGCCGCGGCGGGGCTCCCGGTGAGAGCGCGCCCCGGGAGAGGCGCGGGGGAGCAGCGGCATCCGGTGGCGGCCAGGAGAAGGGTGATGACCCGGGGGGCGTGGATGTCATTCGAAGAAGAAAAAAGCACATGAACATGAACTTTTGGCGCTCCGCGTGGATTTTTTGGATCCGCGCCTGGGCCCCCCGGCGGCGCCTCCTGAGCCGACCCCGGCGCGCTCCGCGCGCCAGGGAGGGGGTTCCACCGCGAATCCAAGAAATCCGCACGGAGCGCCAAAAGTTTGTGTTTGTGTGGCTTTTTCTCCTTCCAATCGTGGCGGGGGCCACGATACCTCCCCAGATTTCATGGCACCTCTTCTTATTCCAATGCGTACCCGCCCCCCCCTGGGCCGCGCACGTGCCGCTGGCCATGATTTGCGCCCCCCCTCTTGGACGCCCCCTTCTTGGCCGCCCCACGACGGCATGGGCTCCGCCGTTTGCGCAAGAAACGCCCACTTGTAGAAGGCCAGGGCGCCCCGCCCCCGCGCACCGTATCTCAACGTTGGCCAACGGGTGTGCCAGAAGGGAGCGCGACGTGTGGCGACATAACCGCCCAGTTCTGCGTGGGGGCACGACTTCCTCGCCAACCTTGAAATACGGGGGTAAGGAGTGCGAGCTTTGTCGTCTTGTCACCAATACCTGAGATGGGCGCTTATTTCGCAAACGACGGTGCCTTTTGGTTTCCCCAGGCCAGCCAGCACCCAGCCAGCACAACGCGGCGCGGGCGGCGCGCGACATGCTCACATGGTCGTCGCCCCACCGTCTCCGAGGAGGCGGCGGCGGAGGTGGGAGGGGTGATGTATGATTGACGCGTTTGGACGTTCCTGGGCCTCCAGAGACTTCCTGCCTCCTCCTCCTGTCGTGGGCCTTTGGGAGGGGGCGAATAACGAGCGCATCGCTGTGTGAGTATGTGGGGGGGGGGTCGTCAGCGGGCGCGCGGTCGTCGACGAATGGTCACATCGTTCAGAAAGCTTACGCCGCGCAGCCCGCCGCGGGCTGGGCGCAGGTTTTGCCGTCGGCGTCGCTGGGCGGGTCGCGGGTGGGTCGGGTCGCGGGTGGGTCGGGTCGCGGGTGGGTCGGGTGACGGCTGGTTCGCAGATGGTTCCAGGCGTGGGTGGGTCGCGGAGCGAGTGGGTCGCGGGTGGGGCGCATGGCGACATGCGCGGCGACGGCGACAACAAAAACGACGGCCCGCACCGAGGAACCCCAATCTAGCCACGCACCCAGTGACAGTGCAAGACCATTCGACACCCTCCCTCTGATAAGGAAATTGCTGGGTACACGTTTTGGATCTGGTTTGCAGCAACTCTTCGGGGAGGGGAAGAAAACAGGAAGCGGAGGACGATGGTGAGGAGGCGGGGGATGTAAGTGAAGATCGTGCCCACCACTGATCTGGGGATTGGCGGCTTCACGAAAAAAGGTTGGCAGACAAGCGGCAGGAGCAGAAGGGGGAAGAGGAGAAGAAGGAGGAGGAGGAGGATAACGAGGGCAGAGGATCACCACCACTCCGATTTAGAGGGGAAGGCAAGGGGCAAGGGCAGTGGTGGCGTATATTTTTTGGGACGCTTTCGTGGGGTAGTCGTGACGGCAGTGGTGACTTAGAGGAGGGAGGTGGTTGAGGAGGAGCAGGAGGGGCAAGTATGATGTCTGAAGAGAAGTTATTGGACGGCGACGGCCTCCTCCTGACGCGCGAAGAGACTCGACGCAGGGCCGACCGGGCGCGCGTTCAGATTCGATCCAATCTCTATCGCGATGCGATTACTTCACCGAGTGGCAATGCACATGCCTCATTGCATTCGTTTGTCCGTGAATCGCGTGATTGGGATAGCCATCCGGAGGGGCAGCGAACGTATATGGCTTCCTTTCCCGTGTGCTTGAGGTCCGCAAGAAGGGAGCCGACTTCCCGAGTCGGCGCCGGCCGATCCTGCTCCGCTGCGCTGGGGGCGCGCCCTCCGCCAGGAGATGGCGGGCCGCCACCGCGCGCAGGCCGGGTCCATCCAGATCATCCACGCGACGGCCGCCGTGCCGCGCCGAGGGCGAGGGTCCCTGGCCGCCAAGATTGGGCCGCAGCAGCTGTGGCCCGAGGGTCGCGCCGCTTCGCCGATGCATCCGCGATTCGGCGAGGTCTGGAGCCGGTTGTTGTCCGTCCCGTCGTCGCCGATGCATCGGCGATGCGGCGGGATCCTCCGATCTCATCTGCTCCGTCCCCATGTTGGAGGCCTGCAGAGGAGGAGGAGGAGGAGGAGGAGGAGGAGGAGGAGGAGGAGGAGGTGGAGGAGCAGGAGCAGGCGGAGTAGGAGGAGGAGGAGCAGGAAGAGGAGGAGGAGGAGGAGGAGGAGGAGGGTAAGGAGGAGGGGGAGGAGGTCCAGAGTAAACCCAAGACGCATCAACCGATGCTGCAATACACCCTTCCGTCCCAAGTCCCCTCCTCATGCGTTCATGAATGTCTTCCTTTCCACTGCGGGCGCCCCCCCTTGAATGATGAGCGGCTGTTCGTTCCGCCACTCATACCAGGGCACCTCTTGTAAAGGATCCTCCCACCTCTTGAAGGACGCCCAGGGTAGCCCCATTCCCAGAAGCACATGCCCCCAACTCTTGTAGGCGTTGCAGGATGTCAAAGACGTGGATGTGCCACGCGGAAGTCGCACGCGAGAGCCTTTCAGGGAGGCCCAGGGATAGCTTCATAAAAAATGGCTTGCCCTCCATCCGTGTCGTGCACAATTCCAAGATCGTGGACGTATGCTTCGAAGACGTCTCACGCGAGAGCACCGTTTCGAAAGAGCAGCCACCCTCCATCCGTGCTAGCTGTTGCACCATATAGAATGCCGGGTTGTAGGGGTCGAGGAAAGGCCAAGTGAATGTACAGGGTGGACTTTGGATTCGAATGTGCGCAGGGCCAAAGGGAGACCCCAATACGTGCTGGAAAGGACTCGCCAGCCACTCGCGCAGCCAAGGACAACTTGGAAACCGGGTATGCACGGCGCCAGGGCGAGAACCCCGTTTTGGAAACGACCCGACTTCAATCTCTTCTTGGTCATGTGCAACGATGGTGTGTGGCGCCAGCAAAGCGAGAGGCCCATCCTGAAAACCGCTTGTGGTCCACGCGTCAACATGATCTGAATTCAATTGTACCTTGAAGCTTCATCCGGCGACGAGGACAAATGAGGATGAGGATGTGCATGCTGTTGCTGCTGTTGGCGAGAGCGAGCCTGGGAACTCTTGGGGGGATTGTAGTGTCTGGGAGCGCCCGGGAGCGCCTGGGAGCCCTTGTGGCAGCCTGGGGGGCGCTGGGGTCCAACCTCGGAGTCGGCGATGGGGTGTCCGAAACGTATCGGTTGATGGTGCAGCTTCTGCAGACTGATGTCTTGCTCGGCTTTTTGTGCCCCGGGGGCCACCGGGCGTGCGATGCTGAAGATCAGCACATGTGCACCGGGATGCAGTTTTTTTTTACCTGAGATGGTTCGGGCTGGGTCGGATGGATGCGCACCGAAACTCCTTGGTCGCATGGGATGGTGGGGGTTGGGCCCGGTGGATGTGCGCCGCACGAATTCTGTTGCGTGGGATGGTAAGGGTCGGGTCGTGTGGACGAGCGTCGGTTAGAGACTCGTTTTCACGCAGGACGGTGATGGCTGGGCCGTAGGAGGGTGAGCGGACTCATATTTGTTGAGCAGGACGTTGAGGGTTGAGCCGGGTGGATGTGCGCCAAATTCAGCGGATGTTGAGGGTTGGGTTGTCTGGATGCGCGCCGGATAGTTATTAGTTCACATAGAGAGGTGATGGATGGGTCGTATGAGTGCGAGCAGACTTGTATTTGTTGCACAGGGCTGAGGGTTGGGTCGGGTGGATGTGTACCACATGCCAGTTTGTTGCATAGGATGGTGGGAGTTGAGTCGCATGGATGCGCGCGGCGCTGGGGATAGAGCCACAATGTGAAAAGAAGCTGGCCTCCATCCATAACAACGCTGCAATGTTTTAAGACAAGTGTGCGCGGGGGCAAAAGAAAGGGCATGATCATACATTTTTTGTATTGCGCTTGGTTTCTTGGGATCGGCGCTGGACACTCTGGCGGCTCCTCTGGCGCCACCTTTGGCGCGCTCCGCACGCCGCCAAGGAGGGGTCCAGTGCAGATTTGCGAAATCCGCGCGGAGGTCCGAAATATTATGTGTTATGGTTATGTTTCTGTTCCTCTACTGCAAGGGTCGGATGGTGGGTGCTTCAACGGCCACCGCACCTCAAGCCTTGCCAGCCTTGATATCCAGCTCTTCTTCAGCAGTGCAGGACTCTCCGCCGATTTCGGTCTCTTGGGCGAGCGCCGGGATCTTGATCGACCAGCTGCTCGTTTTGGTATCTGTTTGGCTGGACTCTAGACTGCGGCATCGGCGCAGGCCAGCAGTGTTCCGCAACAGGCCCTTCCCAGCGAGAAGTGGGAGCAAAGGTGAGCTCTACTGAGCATTGCCTGCGTTCATGGCGCGCGTGGGCTTGCGAAGGAAACAGCAGAGAAGGAGGAGGAGGAGGGGAGGGGAGGGGAATGGGAGGAGGAGGAACTGGAGAAGGAGGAGGAGAAGGAGGAGGAGGAGGGGAGGAGGAGGAAGGGGAAGGGCAGACCGAGGGGGATGAGGAGTAGGGAGGCGATGGGCCTGGAAAGCAGACGAGTGTTTTGGAGGGGGGTCGCGGGGTGGCCTTGGGCAGGGTGATCTTTGTGCAGGAGAATCGGTTCCAAAATTGGTATCGAATTCACGCCAAAATTGTAGCCAAAAGTGTGGCGCAACTTTAGTTGGGCGCGGGGGGGGGGGGGCGTAGAGCTCGGGCGAACAAGGGGTCGCGTGCTCTTCTTCTTCCCCAACCTTCCCTTCGCGGCTGTCGAACCGCGTCTGAGTCAAGCCCATCGTCAGACGTGCCGAATCTTCTTGCTCTGCAGTCGTAACGGGAACGACGATTGTGCTTTTGCAATTCTAAGCAAAGCAGCTTCTCAGATACAGGAAACCTCGCGGCACAGCTTTGAACCCCAAATCCGCCGCATGCCATATTTGATCGCTGCCGGACGGCGTCCGCGCGAGCAGGGGCCCCGTTGGATTCACCAGGGTGGGGCCGTCGATCCGCCAGGCCCTCCGGGAGAAGGGGGCGGAGGGTGGCGGGAATCTGGGGGAGAAGGATGCCGGAACACGAGGAGCCGTGGAGGGTTCCTTCACCGAGCGCATGCCACTACTCGCAAAGTGCCTACTCGCAAACGTCCGACAAACAGATGTCGGCTTGGATGTAATCGATCGTAGATCCTCCGCGGCGTATCCAGGCCATGTGCGAGCAGTTGCTTTTCGAGTAGAGGAACGCGCTCGTCTATTCTTGCAACGAATCACCGGCTGATGGCGTTCCGTCTGCTCGACGCCGCGTGGCACAGCAGGCCGGTTGCCCATGTCCTTGGACGGCGTCCAGGTAGCTTCCGGGGATGCCGGCGTGTAGGGGGGCGGGTGTTTCCAGCCGCCGTGTAAAAACATGGTGGGCAGTTTCTGAGAAGGCCTTTGCTCGGGGCGCGGGCACGTCAGAGGATGAGGAGGAGGAGGAGGAGGAGGAGGAGGAG